TGCATCATCTTTAGAAGGATTTTTGTAAAAAGGGGGAGGAGAAGGTTTATTCCGGGGCGTTGCCAGTCCCCTACAACTCTGCGGATATGGTTCTCTATGATTTCATCAGTCATATAGGTTGATGTGACCAGCATCACCACAGCCAGGAGACACATTTGCATCCTAAGGACCACTGAAATCACTTCCATGATACCAGCACTAGCTGTTTAGAACTTACAATAGAGTATTTCTTTAGTTTTTTTGCCACGAGACACATTTGCATCTCAAGTAACAGTGAAAGCACTTCCACGGCACCAGCACCATCTATTTAGAACTTAAAAATCAGAGTATTTCTTAAATTTTTTTATCAGCCCATTTTAAAAAGTCCTGACTTTATGCTTCATTGTATGAGAATGTTCATATTTACAGTTTGAAGTAGTACATCGAAGAGCTATTTCTTGCACGTTTTGTAAATTAGGTATGCCTTTGAAATAGAAAATTTGTATGGCCAGAAAAGTTGGAAACAACGCTAGTCCAAATATGTAAAGAAGTCTTGCTCCAACTAGAGAGAAATTCTATCAACAAATTGGAATTTCCAAAGTAGAATTATAAACAAATTGGAATTTCCAAAATCACATGGTGAAAGTTAATGTGTATTGGCTAAATATTCCTAATCCCATTCTTCAGTGAAAGTTTTATCCTCTTCATCAAATAGTATCTTTATAAAAAGTTATTTTAATATAATTTTTGTGGTGCATTTCTTTACAGGCAAAAATAATAATTTATTCTTAATGGGTCAAAGAAAAAAAAAGACAGGGTAAAGGAACTTGAATACTCAGCATGTAATAAAGGGGGAAAATAAAACACCATATTCAGAATGCACAAGAACTCTGGGACAGGATTAAAAGAGCACACCTGAGTGTCATTGGGATAGAAAAGAACGTGGAAATACAGGCTGACGGCATTAAGAACATTTTCAATGAGATAAGTAAAAGAAAAATGTTCCTTTATCAGAAATGAGGGAGCATCCACATAAAGGGGGCATATAGGGCCCCAAATAGACAAGGTCAAAATAGAACGTAAGACACATGATAATCAAAATACCAAACATAGAAAAGAAGGAAAAAGCATTAAAAGCTGCAAGAGAAAACCATCAGGTCTCATTTAGGAGCAAGCCAGTAAGGCTCACTTTGGGCTTCTGAACTCAGATTCTACAGAAGAGGCCTGGAGTGAGATGTTCAAAGAAAGCTCTTAAGGAAAAATTTTGTCAATCAAGATTTCTAAATCTAGCAAAGCTCTTTCAAAATCGATGCCGAAAGAAAAGCTTTACATGACAGGGATAAGCTAAAAGAATTTATGATCACCAAAGAAGCACTACAAAGAATACTCAAAGATAAACTGCACAAAGATGTACCCAAAAATAACCCCCAAAGCTCCTAAATAGATGATGACCATGAGAAGAACAACCAACTAAATGAAAATTAAGAAAGAATTAAATATAGTAAACAAGCCAAAATATCAGAAATCTACAAACACATATCCATAATAACCCTGAATGCATATGGTCTCAACTCCCCAGTTAAAAGACACAGATTAATGGATTGGATCAAAAAACAAGATCTAAATAAAAGTTGTTTGCAACAACCCCTATCACCAGCAGACAGATCATACAAATATAAAGTTAATAAGGATTTTTCTGACTTTAATACTATAAATCAAATGTACTTAATAGACATCTACAGAATATTTCACCCCCAAACAGCTGAATTTACCTTCTTCTCAGAAACTCATGGAATCTTTTCCATTATTGACCATATTCTACGTCACGATATAACTCACAAATATTATATATTTCTAGGTCATGATATAAGTCACAAATGTATATATATATATATATATATATATATATATATATATACATATATATATATGAGCATCTTATCAGATCATAATGGAATAAAACTAGGAAACAACAGCAAAAAAAAGGAACTACATAAGCACATGGTGATTGAACACCACTATTTAAATAAAATATGATCATAGAATATATGAGAAAAGAAATCCAGAAATTTTTAGAAAACAAATAAGAAAAGAGATACAAGACATCAAAATCTCTTGGACAGTAGGAAAGCAGTTCTAAGAGAAAAAATGAGTAACTACATTAAAAAAATAGAGATATCCCAAATAAACTTATGTTCCACTTCAAGGCCTTAGAAAAGGAAGAGCCAATTAATTCCAAAATGATCAGAAGACAGGAAATAATATCAGAGTCCAAATTAATGAATAGAGAATAAAAATATACAGGATCAATGCAATAAAGAGTTCTATGGAAAGCTTAATACGATTGATGAACCCTTAGCAAAATCAACCAAAAGAAAGAGAAGACCCACATAAACATAATTAGAGATTTAAAGGGAGATATCATCACAGACACTTCTAAAACACACACAATCATTAGAAATTATTTTGAAATTTTATACTCCAATAAACTGGAAAATCCATAAGATACCAATGAATTTCTGGACAAATATGACCTGCCCAAGTTGAACCAGAAAGACATAGAAAACCTAAACAGACAAATATCAAGTAGTGAAATTGCAACAGCACAAAACCTTCCAACAGAGGAAAGCCCAGGACCCGGTGTATTCTCAGCCATGTTCTACCAGACCTTGAAAGAAGAACGAATACCAGTCATTCTCAATTTATTTCATTCCCAAATATATTCTATGAACACAGTATAATCCTCATACCAAAACCAGACACAGACACATCAAGGAAAGAAAACTACAGACCAATATCACTAATGAACATAGATACAAAAATCCTTGATATTAGCAAGCCACATTAGAAATCACATCACAATAGACCAGGATCAAGTGTATTATCCCAGGCATGCAAGGTTGATTCAACATATGCAAATCAATAAAATGTAATTTGCCACTCAAGCAAAATTAAGAACAAGAATCACATAATCATCTCAATAGACATAGAAAAGGCCTTGGATAAAGTTCAACACCCTTTCGTGTTAAAAACATGAATGGAGAAACTAGGAAAAGAAAGAACTTGCCTCAACATTACAAAGGCTGTAGATGACAAACCCAAAGCCTGTACTGAATGGAGAAAAACTGAAAGCATTTTCTGTAAAAGCAGGAACAAGACAAGGATGTTCAACCTCACAACTTCTATTCAATATAGTTCTTAAAATCCTAACCAGAGCAATCAGGCAAGAGAAGGAAAATAAAGATTTACAAATAGGAAATGAAGAAGTTAAACTTTCTGTTTGCTGATGACATGAGTCTATACTTAGAAGGCCCCAAACACTGCACCAGAAGACTAGAGCTGATAAATTAATTCAACGAAGTAGCATGACACAAGAGCAACATTCATAAATCCATAGCTTTTCTGTATTTCCACAGTGACTCTTCTGAGAATGAAATCAAGAAAACCATCCCATTCACAATATCCTAAAAAGATTCCTGGGAATTAATCTAACCAAGGAGGTGAAAGACAGCTATAATAAAAATTATAGAACAATGAAGATAGAAATATAAAAAGACCTTAGAAAATGGAAGACCTTCCATGATCTTGGATAGGCAGAATTAATATTGTTAAACGACCCTAACTACCAAAAGCAATATACATATTCATTGCCTTACCCATCAAAATACCAATGACATTCTTAACAGAACTAGAAAAAACTGTCCTAAAATTCATTTGTGAGAATAAGAGACATAGAATAGATTGAGCAATTCTGAGGAAGAAATGTGATACATGAGACATGACAATACCTGATCTCAAATTATACTATAGACCTACAGTAAAAACAAACAGTCTAGTACTGACATGAAAGTAGAAATGAAGACCAGTGGAATAAAATATTCAACACAGAGACCAACTCACATACATACAGCCATCTGACACTTGACAAAGGTGCCAAAAAATATATGCTGGAGAAAAGACAGCCTTTTAAACAATGATGCTAGAAAAACTGCATATCCATATGTAGAAGAATGAAACCAGATCCCTATCTCTCACCCTGCCCAAAAGTCAAATCAAAAGGGATCAATCACTTAGGAATTAGACTATAAATTTTGTAACTGCTAGAAGAATACCTAAGGTCAACATTCCATTATATTGGTGCAGGCACTCTCAAAACTCAAGAAATAAAACCAAGAATTAGTAAGTTGGATGCCATCAAATTAAAAACTTCTGCACAGCAAATAAAATGATTAAGACCATAAGGAGAGAGTCCACAGAATGAAAGAAAATCTTTGCCAGATGCTTCTCTGACAGCGTATTAATATCCAGAATATATAAGGAACTCCAAAAACTTAACACCAAAAAAAAAATCAGTAAATGGACAAAAGAACTAAATAAATCTTTCTCAAAAGAAGAAACACAAATGACCAACAAATAAATAAGAAATATTCAACATCTCTAGCAATCAGGTAAATACCTATCAAAACCACACTAAGATTTCATGTCACTGTGGTGAATGACAATGATCAACTACGAATAGTAACAATAAATGCTGGCAAAGATGTGGGACAAAAGGTTTGCTCATACATTGTTGGTGTGACTGCAAATTATTGCAGTCGTTCAGTAAAGCAGTATGAAGATTCCACAAAAATGTAGGAATAGAACCATCATAGGTTCTGCAATTTTTGGTGTGTGTGTGTGTGTGTGTGTATTCTCACTGTGTGGGTAGATTTGAAAAATATATACTGTTTCTATTGATTGTAGTGGTAACATTTGTACAATAGAAATCAGCAAATATGTACTACAAATTGGGGCCTTTTGTATTTGGGGAGGAGTGGTGGGTTCTGGCCAGCATTTTTTTTACTCATTCACCAACATACCACTGGACATTGAACTGAGGCATTGCTGGAGATCTTATTTCTTTCCTTTTCTCCTTGAAGTCTGAGTTTCCAAGGAATTTCATACAATTTTAGCAATAGGTGAGTAAAAGAACACATGAACATGCTGTAAGCTCTTGTCTTCTTTTGCCCCTCTGGTTTCAGGCTAAAGGAGATCCAAATGAGTGAATATGATGCTGCAACCTATGAAAGATTTTCAGGTGCTGTTCGGCGACAGGTGCAGTCCCTCCGAATCATCTTGGATAATTTACAGGTAATCTTCCATTTGTGGATCAAGAAATAACTTGGGCCCAAATCTGGACACTTCCCCAAACTGTCATAGATGGTTAGCTGAACTCTAATCAGCCAATCAGAAAAAAATTAATCAGTGCCAAAGTGTCTATATTAAACTATGGTCTCACCACCATGCCTTAGCTGAGCAAAACACACCTAGTTAAGTGTTCCAAAGGAAAATATATTACCTTACCTTTCTTCCTATCCAAGAAGCAGTAAAATTACCAGTAACTCTAGCAGACACTAAACTTTCTCATTCCCCTCATGTAAGATCTTAGGGCATCTCACCTTTACTGGAAATTCACAAATATAAGTCATTTTATTCTGAAGAAACAGAGAAACATTCTGGATTATCCAGGTGACTATTCACTATCCCCTGCACCCCCTCTTACTGCTTTGTACTTGCCCCTGCACTGCCTGGATCTTTTCAGTTTCACAAAACTCTTGAGTCAGTTGATACTGCTATTGCTCCTAAAAATATTAAAATGTCAATATTTCCTAAGCAGAGATGTTATTTCTGGTCAGTTTGCACAAGTAATTAAGGAAGGGTTGAATTCATACAAGTTTTCTTTTGCTTAATGCATCATTGAGCACTCACAAGTGTTTGAAGACTGAAACCAGCTGGTGAAGCAGTACTCTAGAAAGAAGAGACCTCTGAGTAGGGGACAGACTGCTTGGAAAATGGCAAATAGTATCTACAGTGACTAGTGTTCAGAGTTTGGGGATATGCTTGGGGGTAGAAACTAGTGGAAGAGAAAGCTTAGAGAACAGGAATCCTAAAAGGTTGTGAGCACCATGCAGAGGCTGATATGTCTGTAACCAGGGAAGAGCCATGAAGATGCATGAGCAAAGGAGTGGCATGGTCTGTCTTCATCAGGAAATGGCATGGCCAAGAAGGGAGAAGGTTGCAGAGATGGAGGTGAAAGCCAGAAATCAAATCATAAAATCATTTCAGTTGTTTAGGAGAGAAGTGATAGGAACTCAAAACAGGGGCAAATGAAGTGAAAATGGAAAAGTTGTGACAAATTCAAAAATCATGTTAGTGGCTGGAAAAGAAGACAGTGACTAACTGTGGCGGAGGGGAGTGGTGAATGGAGCAGAGAACTTTCTAACCCTAGAGGACAGACCTAGAGAACACAGGAAGAGGGAAGCCTTGATTAAAGAAAGCACATGTTTGCTTTGGATGTTAGTATGTTTTCTCACTACTAGCACACCTATGCTGAAGTGTCAAACATGATATTTGAAGTTTTTAATATGTGAACCATAATGGGATGGGGGAAGTGGAGGAACTTTTGATGCGGCAAAGGGGAGGGCAAGGAGGGGCTAAGGGGATAGGAAAGATGGTAGAATGAGATGGACAACATTACCCTAGGTACATGTATGATCACACAAATGATGCATCTCTACATCATGTACAACCAGAGAATTGAATTGCATTCTGCTGTCATGTACAACTAAGTAGAACAAATCAAAACAAGAAAAAAAATCATTCTTGCTAAAAATATATGTGAAGAACTATGAATTTAATAATAAACAGTGCCTAAATTTCCATGTTATTTTAAAATTTAAAATTTAAATTAATATAAATAAGATTTTAAAATTTAGATAAAAATCAAGAATACTTTCAGTTAATTCTGTTGGTTTGGGTTAATTAAGTTGGTATAATGAGGACTAGAAGTAAAAAGTGTGATACTTCATGTTACATATGGAAAAAGTGAATTTTTTTTTCATTCTTTAAAATGATTACAAAAATATAAATTTAATCTGACTTTTTAAGCACAATCATGTCAGCAGTTTTTTTGCTGAAATTTCTTGCAAATTGCAACATGTTATATAAAATTGCTCTGATTGCTGTGTGGCGAGGGGTCTGCACGAGGACAAAGGTGGGAGTAGGGAGGCCAGAGGGAGGCTGTGTGGTGGTACAAATGGGAATTAATGCTGCACGTGAGGGATAGACATGCAAATGGCAGAGAGGGTCAGATACTGCCAGGAATTGAAAGGATTTACCAGTGGATTTCGTGGGTGAAACAGGACTCATGATGTCTCCTAGATATATGGCCTGAAGAGCTGAAAATAGTGGGTTGCCCTTTGCCTTTTGCTGAGGTGGATTCTGGGGTTTCGAACTTGTTAAGTTTAAGATGCCTATTATAGATGCACACTCATAGGTATGGTTCTCAGATCTTTTGAGCATTTATAGTTCTTGAAGAAAAAGCACTGAAGTTGTTTTTCTTCATAAAAACAGAATGTAAAATGACAGTAATTTGTCATCCAAAGTAATGATTTAGAACCACATTTGTGTCCAAGGGTACAAATTCTTATAATTAGAATCACCTTTGTTAATACGTGAATCTCTATTTTCCCTCACAATGAGGTGTTACTTTAAGAAAAAAAAAGGAATTCCTTGGAATAAGAAGATAAATATTTTTCCCTTCTTTGCAATATTCTTTCATTATTTAGATATTTTTAACTGTTATGTCAAAATATGTAAAACCAGAAAGTAAAATTTATTTCTACCAATTAATAATTTGTTATTTTATGGACAATATACAAAAAGTTCCTTAATATAGCAAATATTTGTGTCCAAATGGTTGGCTAAACATGGGGAATAGTAAAAATAATGGGAACTAATATTAATGAGAGAATCACTCTTCCTAGCTATCCTCAAACATTCATTTACAGTTACCTATTCACCCAACAATAGTTATAGATGATCTTCTCCATACTTTGTTCTATATAGAATGCTTATGCTTTCTACCAATCTATTCTGAAAAAAATAATAGAAAACTGTCATAATTGTAGAGTTTATAGATGAAGGAAGTCTTGCTTAACCAGAACCCAAATAAGTGAAAACTTCAGATTAATCAGAATGTTTTCAGTGCTGAAATCACAGGCAGTATCACAAACCACAAAAATAACTGGTTCTGGTCAGTTTTATTCATTTAATGTCCTCCATGCTACAAATGTGTGTGTATACTTTCTAGCTAACCAAGAGTTCCCAGAAAATAAATTAACCAGAATACATAATTCTCTGAGTATTTCAGTTAGTCAGAGTGTTCTGTATGTGAAAGTAATAAAACTATATTTCTTTTTTAGAAGAACCATAAGTTAGACTTTTCATATAATGTAATGTAGTCACACAATCTAATTTAATAATGAGTTCTTGTTAGTGTGAATTTAAAATATAATACAAGGGGCTGGGGATGTGGTTGAAGTGGTAAGATGCTCGCCTAGCATGTGTGAGGCACTGGGTTCGATTCTCAGCACCACATAAAAACAAAATAAAGATATTGTGTCCACCTAGAACTAAAAAATAAATATTTTTTAAAAATAAATAAATAAAATTAACACAAAACAAATGGACATTTTTACAAAGAAACTTTGCTTTATTCACTAGGACTATATAATAAAAAAATGTATGACTCCTGTTGTAAGTAAAAGTATGTATTTAAATTCAGTGTGATCTAAAAAGAACAAATTAAAAATACTAAAAACTAAATAGAGTGTGTATTTAGTATTTCTGGAAGTATTTCAGTGAATACAATAAAATACAGAAGACTTTGCAAACACATTGAAAATAATGAATATTTCTTTTTAAAAAATGATTATTTTTTTTCAGTGTTAAGGATCCAACCCAGTGCCTCACACATGTTAGGCAAGTGCTCTGCCACTGAGCCACAGCCCCCAGCTCTGAAAATAATAAATATTTCTATTCAGACGTCAACAACTTTTTAAAGAATTCCCCCTCTAGCCCATGGTCCCCAAAGGCATCGATTCTGACAGGCTTTTTCCTGTTCTGAGTTTCGAAGTATTGGTGGATGGGCTAGAGGATAAAAAAATAAATTTTTCCCCTAATTTATCTGCAAATTATAAACCTGAGAACTATAGAACAGTGCTACTGTTAGAAAAATATTTTTGTGCCCAGTATCTCTGGATCAAAAGACTGAGACATGCTTTCACTTCTCATAAACAAAAGCTACTGATTCATGATCCTTTGACAAGCATGACCCAAAGTAATTCATTTGCTGCAAATAAATATTAAAATAAAGGGAGTTTAAAGCATACCAACCAGGATAGCTAAAAAAAATTAAAACTATTAATATCAATGTTGGTGAGAATATGCAAAAGCAACCCTCATACACTGCTCATGCTAATGTTAATTAGACCATCTTAGAAAACTGAGTAGCAATATCTACTAAAGTTGAATATATCCAGTCTTGTGACTCAGAGCTTTCCCACAACAGAAATGCACATGTATCTTCTCTAGAAAACACATTCAAGAACATTTATGATTGCATTATTCAAAATAGTCCAAAAATGAATACAGCAGGATTATAGATGGAATTATAAATATAATAAATTGTGCAAGTCATATAATGTAATAATGTTAAACCTGTGAGAGAGAATATAGTACCGCAAGATACAACATAGCTAACCCCATGGGATATTGTTGAGCCAAAGAAACCAGAGACAAGAGTGTATGTTCTTTGACTCCATTTTTTTTAAGAGAGAGAGAGAGAGAGAAAATTTTTTAATATTTATTTTTTAGTTTTCAGTGGACACAACATCTTTATTTTTATGTGGTGCTGAGGATGGAACCCAGTGCCATGCGCATGCCAGGCGAGCGCGCTACCACTTGAGCCACATCCCCAGCCCTTGACTCCATTTTTATAAAGTTCAAAATCAGACAAACCTATTCAATGCTATTAGAGATCAGAATAAGTGTTACCTTTGCAAAGAGTAAAATCCAGGACAGGGCCCTGGGAGACTTCAGAGGTATAGGTAGTTAAATGGTGTTTTCACAGCACAACAGTTCGTTAAGATCTGCACTTATGATTTCTGTACTTTATTATAAGCATATCATACAGGAAATTGACCAAAGAAGAAGACAAAGAGGAAGAGGAAGGTGCAGGGCAGGAGGGAGGAAGGAAGGGCAAGAAAAGGTAGCAGACTACTGGAAAAAGCATATTTCTCCCCTTCATTCGTGCTGCAAAAATATCATATTCTAAGAGTAAAATATTTTCAATTCAGTAACCCCTTTACCAAGGAAAGTAATAGGAACATGTGCCCTAAACAGAAGTCCCTTCTGTCATTTTTACAAAGTATTATTAACATGAATATTAAAAGAAGAATTCCACGGTGCTGTTGAACTATTACATAAACTCCACTGGGTGATGGCTCTGTTTCTCTTCATCACTCTGCCATTTCCCCTCAGCATCCCAGCTCCATGTCACCTATAATTCCCTTCTTGTGCTGTGAATCTATTATTGCAACTTCTGGACCCTATAATGCTGGTTAGGAATTGAAATCACTAAGTCAAGACTTCACAAAGCTCACACAGGAGTTAACATTTGTTCACTTTGTGGTCTAGAAGACCTGCCTCGTAATAAATTAACCTTGAATACCAAGGACTAGAGCTGACCAGTAGGATTTCTTTCTCACAAATATACTAAAGAAAATTGAATAAAAACTTAAATTCCCTCGGATGAGTTAGTCACATACAAGAATGTCTAAAATAACAAACTACTTCAGATCACTGTATTACAGTGGGATCTTTATAAATAGATTTGCTAGTTCATTTTTTTAGGACTGAATAGTATTCTATTGTCTGGATGTACCAACAATTTAATTCATCCATTACCTATCGAAAAACACTTTAGTTGCTTCCAAATTTTGGCAGTTATACATAAAATTGCCATAAATATCACAGCAGAGTTTTATGTAGACAGAAGTTTTCAACTCATTTGTGTAAATAGTAAGGCATGCAATTGGTGGATGGTGAAGTAAGAATATTTTAGTTTCAGAAGAAGCGGCCAAGCTGTCTTCCCATGTAGAAACACCATTTTTCATTCCCATGCACAGTGAGAGACTCTGCATCCTTAACAACATTTGTTGTTGTCAGAGTTTTGGGTTCTGATCATTCTAATACGTTTGGAGTGATGTCTCATAGTTGTTTTATTTTGATGTTACATATGTTACATCTATTAACATATGTTTAAGATATTTTCATACGATTATTTACCATCAATCTGTTTTTGTTTTGGCAGGTATTAGGGATTGGACCCAGGGGAGATGAACCTAAGCCATATTGCCAGCCCTTTTTAAATATTTTTTATTTTGAGACAGGTTCTCACTAAGTTGCTTAGAGCTTTGCAAAATTGTTGAGGCTGGCTTTAAACTCATGATCCTCCTATTTCAGCCTCCCAAGCCGCTGGATTACAGGCATGTGCTCACCACGGCCAGCCAATGTGACTATTTTAATGAAGTGCCTTCTCAAGTCTTTTACCCATTTTTAAAACTTTTTCTTTACTGTTGAGTTTTAACAGTTTTTTAGATACTAATCCTTTATTAAAATTACCATATTTAATGTAGATGTATTAATGTAAATAAATGGAAACCCGTAGGTCACCAGCATAAGATTTTAATTTTGATGGGCAGGTCCTGGAACCACTGTACCAGGTAAATATTAGAAGTGTATCTTTCCCAGATGTATATTCTTCATAAGAACCCCGTGATCTCACATGGAAATGGGGCATATTAGAGCAAAGCTGCTGTCATATAAAACTTGATACAGAGTTATAGGTGGTAGAAGGAGCGAGTAAACACAGACTTCCAGAATACTTTCCACATTTCAATAATCAGACAAGACAACCTTGATCGCACAGTGCCATCCTCCCCGTACCAAAAATTGGGACTTAACTCCTGTCTCCTCTTTTTTGTCATTTCTGGAATCAGGAGTGGTTAATCCCTCAGACTGCCAGGATAATTTATGCTTGGAAACAACACCATGGATGACCATTTAGGTACCTTTCAATGTGACATTCTAATACTCTTGGAGGTACCAAGCTGCAGAGCTCAGTCTTCTAATGCCTCTCATAGATGAAGACAGACTCTCACAGGATTGTCAAATGGAAAAATAAGCAGTTAATAAAGTAAAAGAAAACATGGTCACAATGGTCAGCCACCATCGAAATGGCATGGAAGTTAATTTTTGAGCTGGGTTTAAGAGCAATACAGAATTAGTATCAGAATAAAATTATATAACATGTTTGGTAACACATGTGCCATTGTTATCATCAAACATTGGTTTTCTAAGTTTCATAAATAATTTTGACAAGGCAATGCCCTGATCATGCCCTTCCCAGTCCTCCTGGCTGCTACATGCTTTTATTAACCAGTGATGGTTTCACTGTTGTAAAGGCTACCCAGTAAGTAATTTTTGTGATTTTTAAATGCAGATCATAATTGTTATATAATTAAATTTAAACCCCATCATTTTGCCATGGAGGAATTATAAAATGCTGAAATTCTAACTATAAGTCCACTCTCCTCTCATATTTTGGTGTTTCTAGAAATGAAATACATCCTATAATTTTGTTTACATGCATTAAAACATTTTAACTATTCTTCCCCCTTCTATGGTAATTATACTCATGGATTGCAATAAACACATGCCTTTATTGGGATATTACAGTTCTTTATCATTTAACTATCACCTGATCTAGTTGTGTTTTGGCAAAATGTTATGTGAAAATACCTTAGAAAAATAATTCAGAAAATTTCAGAATATAGAAAATCAGAGACATGTGGGGTACAAAATGTTCAGATACTGTTGTTTCCAGCTATTTCCATGTACACAATAAGACACGGAGAATTTGAGTAGCAAATTTCTTTCCAAAAGGAAGACTTCTGAAGATCACATTCTCTCTGGGATTTCTGACAATGTCAACAAGTTCAAGCTGATTATTTAGGTACCTAATAAATTTTCTAGAAGAACAGAGACAGAAAACCCATAGGAAATGTATCATCATTACCTTTCCAGATATAGAACTTTCTTAAGGGGGTCATTTTCATACTGTCTTCCTGTCCATATGCCCTTCAAGTGTTCCATATGTTAAAACAATTAAAACTAACAAAATACACATAAATTGCATTTCTTTGTCAGCAGAACAGAAACCAGTTCATTTCTGCAGTTGTGTTTATGCAGAACCATCACGTATTGAAAAGTTCCCTGGTGTGTTTCCTGTTATTCATGCAGAAAGTGTGTCAAAGATCCTGCAGAACTCGTTAAAAATAAAGACTTATGTGTATGTGTTTGTGTGTCCTAGGCTAAAGGTAAAGAAAGGCAGTGGCTAAAACACCAAGCTACTGGAGAACTAGATGATGCCAAGATCATTGATGGGCTGACTGGAGAGAAAACCATCTACAAACGTCGGGGTGAGCTGGAGCCACAAGTAAGTAGTGGAGGACTGGTAGCATCAGACTTGCTTAGTTTGGCCTTGTTTCTAGAAACTCACTTTCTTGAGTTGTGTGTCAAAACATCATAAACCCTGGTGCATTATACTAAAAAAAAAAAAAAAAAAAGATAATGATGAAGAAAAAAACAAAAATATTATACTATTTATTGTACATGTTAAGGTCTCAGCAAGAAACACAAGGCACACTCAGACTGTGTAATTTAAGTAGCAGTGAATACAGAAGAATTTAGAGCATATTTACAAAGATAAGGGTGGATTTAGGAAAGCCAAAAGATTCACTGTGATAACCCAGGCTGACATCAGCGGGGATCTGACTCTGCCCTGAAGTCTAACACACAGAGCAGGAGAGCAGTTCTGGAATCTGGAGAAAGTAGTTCATGGAGCTGTGGCCTTTGGTAGAAGTAGAGCCCACCCCTGGGCAACAGCAGAGAAAAAGCTGAGGTAATAACCCCCCCAGCCTCTCACTCTGATCTGACAGTGCCTCCCATTGGCAGAAAACTCTGGAAGCCAGTAGCCAAGAGAGCTGCCCATTGGCCCATCCCACTCCTGGGACACACAGCAGTTGCCCTGGAAGGGAAACTGAGGGTACCCTGTTGTCTCTGAATCCTAGAGTATTCCTCAAGTGAGAGCAATAGAGCCATCTTGGTGGTTTTCTACTATTCTGTACCTTTAAAGATCTGTGTCCATCATGGGATTTAAGAAAATTTTAGGAAATAAGGAATTCTCCTTTAACTCTCATTGTGTTAAGTCAAGTTTCAGTTAGCTATAGTTTTGAAAACTTTGTCATATAATGGCAACAGAGTGAAATATGAGTCTCTTGATTTCCTATATCCTACATAACCAGAATTGCCAAGTTCCCACTGAGAGCTGGGGGAGCAGGGCCTGGAGAGAGCAGGGAGAGTCCATCTACTTAAATGTGTTCTCAGAGAGGATCTGGTGGTGATTTGGGGAGTTCTTATTTCTGTGTCACTGGGATGAGTCAACAACTGTGTTCTTTACTGACTCATTGTGGTCAACAAATGTGGTTGGATATATATGATTTTGTGAGCAGTCATGAAAGCCTGTGTGGCACTATTGTTCATTTGGACACACTCAAAAGTTTTGAAGAAATATATTGAATTGGCTCCAAACCATTATCCTCTAATACCCAGAGCATGTTTTGAAATTTCTGGCTCTGCCGTTAGTGTTTATGCATGTCAGAAAGTTTACAATAACAAAATAACCTGGAATTTTTCTTCCTTCCTTCCTTCCTTCCTTCCTTCCTCCCTCCCTCCCTCCCTCCCTCCCTCCCTCCCTTCCTTCCTTTCTTTCTTTCTTTCCTTCTTTTTTTTTAGTAAAACTGACAAGATTTTTCAAAATTCTGCACATTGGCAGATAGGAGTCCAAAATCAAACTGAATCTCTCAAGTTTCACATTTAATTGATAGTTGCTTCTATACATCAGCTTAATGATACTTTCATGCTTTAAACTGCCAAGAAAAGAAAAGGAAAAAAGCACTAGTTCACTAACTCCAAGGAAATTTGAAAGCTTGCTAAGGACAAAAACCATTTAAAAAATATTTTCCTTAGATTATTTGCCAGACTCCCTCTCCCATAACCTTGTTTTAAAAATCTAGTATTTCTTGCAACCTACATGGGAAATGGTTTTCAACTGACTGCATAACAGATACAAATAAAATTGATGTTGGCTTCCCTCCAAAATAACAGACTCTTGCTAGAATTACTGACTTCCAGGCATGGAGAGAAAAATGACATGTTAGGATTTGTATCTTTCCAAATTATTTTAAGGCACCAGTCTCCAAAAGGCAACTTTACTAGACTAGATTGGGCCTTGCAAGGGCTCTATTCCAAAGGAAAATCTTTTTCATATGATCCTAACTACCTTATGCAATTTCAGTTACTGAAATTCAATCTACAGGCATCTTTCACCAGCCTGATCAACCTTTTACAGGGTCAAGTCTGCAGCTGATCTGCCCACCTCATGACTAGCACTCTGGTGCCTGTGTGAGCTCCTCAGGACTGCAGCCATTGATGACATTGTAGTTCACAAGCTCTTTCTGTCATTCCCTCCCTCAGCTGGGGAGCCCACAAGAGAAACCCAAGCGTCTGCGCCTGGTGGTAGATGTGTCTGGCAGCATGTATCGCTTCAATGGAGTGGATGGCCGGCTTGAGCGCTCAATGGAGGCCGTGTGTATGGTCATGGAAGCTTTCGAGAACTATGAGGAGAAATTCAAGGTAATGGCATGATCTAAGGATGATAAGAGTCATCCTTGACCACATCTGCACAGAGTGAGCCCTGAGTTATGGCATGATGATGATAGCTGCTTGGAGACTTTATTCCCAGGCAGACAGAAATCTCCATTCTCTTACCAGCTCATTTGGCTCATTTGCCAGGGCAAAAGTGAGACATTTGCTTCATCTGCTCTGATAATATCATAATTTAAAGAACTGATTCCTTCTGATTACTACTGAAGAAACTCCACCATTGTGTGACATTAACCATAAGGTTTAAAAAAAAGGAACAGCCACTTAGAAGCACCAGAGTCTGTTGCCCTTGTAACACCCATACCCACACACCGTTTCCCAATCACCAGACAGACAGCCTTCCAAGGTTTGAGCTCACTCCCAGAGTGTGGTGTTCTCAGCATCACTGTCCCTTTGCACATGGGCAGTGATTCTACAGAAATGAATGTCTCCCCAGCTGACAATGAAGATGACCACCCTGGCAGAAAAGCAGCCTCCCATTTAAGCTATTTCTATTTTGTTCTTGCAGAGTTTGATGCACACCCTCCATTTCAGAGGTTTGAGAGTGGAGAAGGGATTCCCCCAATATAGCTGTGTTATCCCCTGACAGAAGCCTACTCGTCTGCTCTTAATCAACCACAGAGAGCACCTGCTCCTCTGGCCCTTTCAGAGCAAATAACCTTGTGTTACCATGGTTATCACATGCCATGCAATTATTATCAAAAGTTCAGTGGAGAGAAATGGTATATGTGTAGACATGTAAAGGACACAGAGTCTATTCATGGATACTGTAGACCTTATTCTGGGTCATACATTTCCTGAGAAACAAGTAGTATTAGTTCATTCACTGTTTAGCTTGACATCCCACCAGCACCTCTGGTTGCTACCTGGGTCATGGCTCTGTGTTATGCCTCATACAGCAAGAAACAGGTCATTTACTTTGGGCTTATTATTAAGCGGACTACCCATTGAATCTCCCAGGGTCCCTTATATGAATTAAGTTCTGCAAGAGAAATTCATTTTAGGATTGACTGCTGGGGAAAGGGCAGCTTTAGACAGTGAATGCTGTGGGTTACTAGACTTTTCACAAGTACAGGATACTAATACAAATATACATGGACTTTTACCATGAGGAGTAGTTATGTTTCCCTTGAAGAACTAGAATGGGTATCCCCTTGTGAGTATTGAAAACCATGGAACTATTCAAGATTCTCACTTTGTCCTAGTTGCCAGGAAGCTTGGTGCCAAAATCAAAGACCCACTATGACAATTTTATTTTGTCTTATGTCTTAAATACTTATATTTAGCTTTTTATTTCCCTTGACCCTCCCTCACCTCAGATGTAAGTTTGTCTTCATTTTTTAAAAAAAAATTTTATTACTTTTTCATGTTTTGTGGGTCAAAGGAAAATATTAAAAAATTTTATTTAAAAGTATTTCAGATCCTTTCTAGTATATAGTAGAGTTTGATTTCCTATATCACTTGAACCACAGGTGACCAATGGATTTCTAAAAATCCATCTTAGTAGCATAAATACCTGTATCACACCTAATGTTTAAAAACCTATGGATTTTAACTTGACCCAGAATCCCTACTATTTCCAGAGCTTCTTATAGACCTTCCCTACACATTGTCACATTGGAGTCTTTTTGCTATCTTTCTACCATCTCCAACACATATCTGAGATTCTAGTGGCCACAGGCCACTCAGTCTCTGCTAAGCCTCCTGTGGCCTCCTTTGTAGAGGAGAAGAAAGAGATGGGTTGGAACTACTATATTCTGTGAGAGCTTTATATAATTAAATGTTTAGGGATTTAAGTAAGGGGTACACGTAGTATAAAATGTAAAAGGAACAAAAGGAGATAAGAGTGAAGAATAAATCTCTGTCCACCCTTCTCAGTTCTGAAATTCCTTGTCTAATGATGACCACTATTAGTGGGTTTTTGGTCACTTTTCAGAGATATTCAGTGGTATACATCACGTGGTTCCATTCCATGCCCTGTGGTTTGTATGGTTATGTTGATCATATTCAAATCATTTAATCTCTCTGTACTTCCATTTTCTCATTTGCAAAGAGATATAAGAACTAGGAAGGACTAATTTACTTAGAAAACATAAAAAATGTATGAACCAATGATTACTTGAGGAGCTCCTAGTGAAAATTTTGTATTCTTCAGACCAGAATTGCATCAAATGTCTTTAGGAATTCAGATTTGTGATCTGAGATTCCCCATCCCCAGTTCCAGATGGTTCTTAATGTCTTCCCAAATTTATCCTTCAGCAGTAAAGTATATTTGCTTTGGAACCTTCAGAAGCCTCTGGTCTGGTGTGGTGGTCTAGAGTCTTCCTGTCTCTCTTGGCACTTGCTGTTTTCTGTGTAGTAGTCTCAGCCATCTGAGCTGTAGCTCATTACTATCAAACTTCAGTGGCCTTGTTTAGAGTCTCTCTCCATGTTTTACTCCCCCACATTAGCATGACACATGCCAAACCACAGTGAGCCTAGAGCCAAAATTACTGAGTAGGAAAGGTAATTGGTAATTCAGTGGCAGGACACATTTCCAAAGCATTCAGAGTTTTAAAGTTTTTCATAAGTGTTCTACCAACAGAATTTGATTATTCCCAGGCATAGTGTTCACAGTAGGTCATCTAAGACAAGAGCAACATTATTTGCTTATAATGAGCATAATTTTTAACATTCCTAGAAAACTTAGAGACTACAGTGAAAGGTAGAATAGTAATGCTTATATGAACCATTTAATTTTAGTCAAGTTAATTCTTTTTCTTTTATCTTCATTTTTAATTGGTTCCTCATGATTTCACCCCGTCTGCTCCATCTCAGTACAACTAAAAGCATTCCACTTATATTGGTAATACATGATGTTTTTTTTAATATTTATATTTTTAGTTATAGTTGGACACAATACCTTTATTTATTTATTTTTATGTGGTGCTGAGGATTGAACCCAGGGCCTCGCACGTGCCTAGGCGAGCACTCTATTGCTGAGCCATAACCCCAGCCCCATGATGTTTGATAAAGTGGACTTTTCTGAAATACTTCATTTGAAGAAAGGACTTTACTGCTTAAAAAAAATATTAAAGGTCAGAGGTGTTAGAAAACCACTATTCCAGGACCAATGCTGGATTATAGCTTCTGAGGGCTTTCTTTTTGGAAGATATGTCATAGATCCTTAGTTCAGTTAGATGATTCACTCCTTCTTTGATAGGTGAAAACAAGGCCTACCTGTTCTTAAAACTAAGAGGAGCCAGCTTTTCATTCCATTTCTTGGGTATACTATTGAATATAGAACCTTGAGGGCAGGAATGACCTTGGAAATTATCTTCATCAACCTCACTTTTACAGATGAGAAAACTAAGATTCAAAAAGGTTGAGTGCTTTGCCCAGTGTCATAGCTGGACCATGAAAAGCCAGGACTTCTGATGTCACTTCACAGCTTTTAGTTGTTTTCCTTCCTATTATTTGTAGTCATTTTATTTCTGCCCAATCAGTGTTTTAAAAAAATGTAATTCAGGATGTACCCAGGGGATTCAAGTCAGAAAAGCCAAGGGAAAGCTGGGCATGGTAGTCCACTCCTGTAATCTCAGCAGCTCAGGAGGCTGAGGCAGGAAGATTGAAAGTTCAAAACCAGCCTCCACAATTTAGCAAGGCTCTAAGCAACTTAGCGATATTCTGTATCAAAATAAAAAGTAAAGGGGGATGGGGATGTGGCTCAGTGGTTAAGTACCCCTAGGTTCAATCCCTGATAACAAAAACTTAAAAATAAAAAAGGAAAGTGAAGGAGACCCAACTTGTTTCTGTCTTTGATTCTGGTGGCTCACATGACCAGCTGAAGCAGGTCCAGAATCTGAATAGCTTGGATGTGAATACACTTAGGGACTAAGTCAGGGGAGCCTGGAATGGCTGTGTTTGTGGGCATCAGAGGAAGTGAAGAATTGGTTTCCTTCCCCCAGCTGAACTGTTAGAAGGTTCCTGAGATCCAGACTCTCAACAAAGATCCACACTGCCAAGTCCTAGTGGTATGTTCATCTAATCTCTCCAGAGCAGACACTACCCAACAAAACCCCTGAGGCCTAAATAGACCTAGTCTTACCCACTGGAGCACCACACATTGAACTGTGCAGCAACCCCACCCTGAAAGTACATAAACTTGGCCTGTGCAGACAAAACTCCAACACATAGCACTTCCCATTTCATCCTACCTCATACTGTGGAGAAGAAAAACTCTGATGCTGACTAAACTCAACCAAAAGAAAGTGCACTTTGCTCTTAATGATAATCTTTTTATTAAATTTATTTATTTATTCTAATTTGTTATACAAGACAGCAGAATGCATTTCAATTCGTAGTACACAAATGGAGCACTATTTTTCATTTCTGTGGTTGTACACAAAGTACACCATTTGTGCCTTCATACATGTACTTAGGGTAATGATGTCCATCTCATTCCACTGTCTTTCCTACCCCCATGCCCCAACCCCTTCACTCCCTCCCCTTTTGCCCTATCCAAAGTACCTCCATTCCTCCCATGCTACCCTCAACACCCCCATTATGAATCAGCATCTACTTATCAAAGAAAACATTCAGCCTTTGTTTTTTGGGGATTGGTTTACTTCACTTAGCATGATATTCTCCAACTCTATCTATTTACCTGCAAATGCCATGATTTTATTCTCTTTTAGTGCTGAGTAGTATTCCATTGTGTATATGTACCACAATTTCTTTATCCATTCATTTATTGAAGGGCATCTAAGTTGGTTCCATAATTTAGGTATTGTGAATTGTGCTGCTATAAACACTGATGTGGCTGTGTCACTGTAGTACGCTGATTTTAAGTCCTTTGGGAATAAACCAAGGAGTGGGATGGCTGGGTCAAATGGTGGTCCCATTCCAAGTTTTCTAAGGAATCTCCATACTACTTTCCAGATTGGTTGCATCAATTTGCAGTCCCACCAGCAGTGTCTAAGTGTGCCTTT